CCGATGCCCAGGAAGGCTCCCGCGCCGCCAGCCCTGAGCACCCTGGTGACGCCCGCGCAGGACGTGCTGTCGCGCCCCACGGTCGCCGGGTGCTGGGGCTCGGGGTCTCAGCACGGTCTGGCTGCGCGCGGCTCAGGTTAGTGAGCGCAGGGTGAGAGCTGCCAATGCTGCCGCCGAAGCTGCGGGGTCCCTTTGCGGAGACCTTCCCAGAGACCACCCGTGCTGGCTCCTGGCCGCGTCCCCTCTACAGAAGCACCCGCCGAGGGGAGAGAGGTGATTGCCCGGAGCTGGAGCTGGTTCCCCTTTGCATATTCCGTGTCTCTGTGGATCTGTCGCCTCAACATCGTACCCAACGCGTGCCGTTGGTTAACTCCAGACAGAAAAGCGACCCCAAAGCAAGCCACCCGCTGTGTCCCTGCTCTGCCTCGCAGGAGAGCTGGAAGGAAAAAGCAAGTGATAAAGGGACAGTGAACTGAGGTGACAACAGTTCAGATACAGTTTAATAGCCCAAACCTCTTTTTTCTTTAATTCCTCCTCACTTTTTCAGTTCCTCTGCCCACCAAGTGAAGAAAGGAACTGATTTAAGCAAAGTTGGAAGGCCGATGATTTCTAAGACATGAGTTGTCGACAGTCACAAACAGGTCGCAAAATAGCTTGCAGAAGGCTTTGAGGCTTCGTCCTCAGGTCTGCCCCTTCTGAAGGCTCCCAGCACATCGCTGCCAAGTGTCAGGCTCCTTGCTCCTCCTCTGCAGTGAAACACCGCATGGCTTACGGGCTCCTGCACTCTTTGGGATGAAGGCAAGCAGCAGACACGGTGAATGGGAATAGCAGGAGAAACTCCGGTCCCTGCTAAGCAGTGTGGCAACAGCCTGAATTAACACTTGTTCTGGGGGGAGCTGCTCCTGGTTTCCAGCGGGACGGCTGAGGGCTGGACCCATCTCACCTCCCCTCAGTTCGCAGTGAGCAGGAGCTGGCGGGGAAGGGGGGCCAGCGGTCCCCCCGCGCGGGGGTCCCAGGCAGCTCCCCCAGCTCCTACGTTGTTTCGAGCGGTGCAGAACACTCCCTTCTTGTTAAATGTCAAATGTTTTATTGATCGAGATTTAAACATAAAACCATAATGTAGATGCATGAAGTTAGCTGCTATTTCGCAGCTGATTTATGGTCAGTGTAGAGAGGGAAGGGAAAAGGTTAATCTGCAGGGTTTGGCCTTGCTGGCACATAGCACCAGTAATTCCAGATTCTCACCTGTCACTCTGGGATGTTTGTGAGTAAAATCAAATCAAACTGGTGTCAAAGATGAATAAATGGGGTTTATGGTATTAGTAATATTTATTTATTTTTTTAAAAAATGTACCAAGAAGCAAAATGAGTGCTATTTTGTGTGCTATTTTACTCTCTGGACATTGAAAGCCAGCTTCAGGCTCTGTTTTTATCTCTGCCTTAATTGTAAAAATCTCTAATTGCTTAGAAATCTGCAAAGGAAACATAAATTCTACTACTCTGACAAGCCTCAGGATTTGCAAAGAAATACAGAAAGAATGTCATTAGCTTTGGGAAGCAGACCCATACTTCCAATCTGTCCCCTGGTGTACGTGTTTGGTCAGCAAACTATTAAGAGTATGATGCCCACTGAGTTGGCAGCTTTCACCTCTAATTTTTCAGGGTTTCTATGAAAAGGTGAAAATAAATTATGCCATGAATTTACATTAACTTGAGTCAAAATATGACAAATTTCCTTTTTTTGTTTCGGATCAGTATGTTGCTTCTTTACATCACAGAAAAACCAAAATAAGGACAAATTATGTTCTGTGATGGGGCGGGGAACGGAACAGCTATCTCCCCTTGAGCTAATTTGCTAATTCTGATAAGCTCCAAAGGTAACCTTCCTGACTGAGCCTCAGAAAGGAACAGGTGGGAAAAAAAATCTGAAATCAACTATAAACAGGTTTGTTCCTTTGGGCAAAGATGAACTTTTCAGAAAGGTCTTGCAGCTAAGGGAGGGCAAACTGGGTCAGTTCAGCTGCTGGTCCCTGCAGTGGCTGTGGCACCTCGCTGCGCCCGCGACACAGAGGGCGAAGTTCTGGGATGCAGAGCTCGGGCTGCTCCACTGCCGCACTGCCCTGCCTGCCCTCCAAACCAGGATTTAGGTGGTGGGTGCAGGAGGGGTTTCCAGCAGCCGCACGGTCTGCGGCAGGTCGCTGCCGCCTGTATGCGTGCAAGGGAAGGAGGCTGCTCTTTTCTTCAACGCCAGTGTTTAAATCGGAGCTTTTAAGCACCTTTGCAATACTCTCCGTGTGATGTTCTGGGTTGCAATGGGCAGAGCCGGTTCTATTTCATTTTGCAAATTAATCTGCAGAGTGTCCCACTGGCCACCCGTGCTCTTCCCTGTGGAGGGATGGAGCTGAGTGACGTTACTGGAGCATTACTTTAGGTCAACAGAGGGGTCTTTGGTAATTCTGACTAAACTCGTCTGCAGGACCAGCCTTCTGGATTAAGCAACCTGAAAATAAGAACACAGTTCATGGAAGATTTCTTAACAATGTTCTAGTGTGTGTTTGCTTAAATCACGTGGAGATGCTGCCTGGGGGGCCACAGTTCACCGGCCAGAGCAAGAGGGGTGTCGGGCTTGGCTCACACAGTGCTGCTTGTCCCTGGCCAGCCCTGGCTCTGCAGGCTGGGACTTTGTCTTTCAGCTCCTTGGTGCCAAGGAGTGTATTTAGTCCTAAGGCAGACGTGCAGGCCTGTCCTGGGCTGAGTGTGAACGCAGCAGAGCTGCGGTTTGGCACTGCTGAATTTCATGGAACTTGATACCGTTCGTCTCTTGGAAACAGCTCTGCTCCTGCCGCTGCTGAAGCCTGTGGACTTGGACATTGATGCGCTGCTTTGCAGGAGAGACTGCACTTTGCAGAAAGAGTGAAGGAGCTGAGGACGTGGAGATCATGGTGTCACCCTGGGCACAGGCTGGAGTTCGGCATGGGGCACGTGGGGGGTGTCACTCGGAGACGGCAGTAGCTCCTGTGCGTGCCGCGCTGTCCCATCCCTGGCCAGGAGCTGGGCTCTGTTCAGGCTTACACGCCCCTTCATAATCAGCTCTCTTGGCTCTGCTGATGAACGTGTGCGTTGCCTTCTCCCACCACACTCTCACGTGCACTTCCAGCTGTGGATGGCCACGGCCAGCACAGCCGTGAGGTAAAGGGCCACCGTGAGCTGCTTTGAGAGAAGGCACAGCCTTGACTATCATGCTGCTTCACAGATACCTTTCCCTTTCCTGGACAACGCATCCTAAATGTGCTGTGTATGTCAGTGTGGAATAGGTGCTCGCGCAGACGGCTGCTCACGCTGCACCTGACAAAGTGTTTCTTTTTATTGCCATGCTAAAGAAGCCTTGCTCGGGGGTTCCTCCTTACCCGCCGAGGGTCGGTTTGGCTCAATTCTGTTTTGCCTCCATGTATCTTTAGTATGTAAACATCAGACTCCTGGATGGTAGTGGGTTTGGACTCCATGAGGCCTGTAAGATCTAAGCATTAAAAAAAAAAAGAATGAAAAGTAACAAAAACCAAACAAAAAGCCCCAAGACCCATGTTACAGTCCGTGCTTTGAAGTTCTTGCTTCTGTGCCGGTGATCGATGCAGCTGTGTTGTAAAGGCCTTGTTCTTGAAATGAACCAAACCAGGCTTTTTTTTTTTCTGTTTTTTTTTCTCGTTTTTTAATCCTTCCTTCCCTAGTTAAGAGTGCATCCAGCCGTGTCTGCCACAGCTCCTTCCCTCCCACCCCCCTGTTCCCATTCCCTAGGGAAACACGGGTGTCAATCCAGTGTTGCAGGTCATGTTGTCCTTCCCTGGCAGCCGTCGGTCGTTGAACGTGTGCATGTTGATCACAGCATCTGTCTTCACCATGACGGGTGGCTGAGGCTTGTGTTTGACCCGTCGCTGGCAGGTGAGCGACAGCCGGATCTCATCGGCCATGGCGCTGCAGAAGGAGCGCTGGGGAGAGCAGGGACAAAAAGTACCATTACTCCTGGCAAAATGTTCTGCTAACCTCTCCGTGGGCAGGAGGCTGCTGAAACTAGGCTCTGCAGAGGGCAAGCATGAGGTTTAGGCTGTATTTAAGGCATCAGCTGTGCTTAGCAGGACTTCAGTCATGCACGGGAGTCTGGTTGACCCTTCTCTCCTTTGGCAAGAATTGTACCTCTGACACACTAAATCCTGCAAAAAGGCAGAGCTATAGGTGGCTGTTGGAGTGCTGGTGCTTTGTGTGATCCCTGCATGTGCTGGGAATCAGAGGGCTATCGAATCCTGCTGGGCTTGCTAGTGGGCAGTTTCCTTTCATCTATCTAGTCCATCATGTGGGCAGCTTGCTTTGATTTCTGGTCATGCACATGAACGCACTTTCCGCTTACAGTACCATGACGCCCAAGGAAGAGGGGAAAAAACATAAAAGCAGTCCTGTTGTTTCATGAGCGCTAATCATCCACTGCGGGTGAGACGGGCCATTTGTGTAAGTGTGTGAAAAGTTGTTAAGATAGTGTGAAACTTCCTGATGGACCCTGACCAGTTGAGGCTCTTTGAACAGGAGCGGGGAGAAGAGATGGAGACTTCATGCGTGTATATGTTATGCCTGGAATATGCAACACGATTGCATGTGATAGTGGTGAGTGAATATGACAGCTCAGAAGGGTCCCTCTCAGGGACCTCTGTCTGTGTTTTCATGACTTACATGTCGGCTTGCTCAAAATTACCCTACAAATGTTTACTAGTCTAGTTACTGCAGCAGCAGCAGACCCTGATCAGAGTAGACATGATGTGCCCCCTGACCTGAGGCTGTTGGAGCGAGGCAGAAGCAGTGAGCCTTGGGGAATGGTATTGCAGGGGTGCTGCATTTCAGCCCTTGGGCTGTGGGCCCGTGGACCTCCAGGCAGCAGGGGCAGGGCTGAATCCCTCTGCCTGCCTCCCTGCCTGTCTCGGGGATCAGTGTGCAAATTCCTTAACGACTGGGCTAGTGGTGGTGCAGGGAAACTGAGGAAATCAGTACCTGCTCACGTTCCGCTGTTTTGCGCAGCTTGTAGATGAACTCCACCATGGCCACGAAGATGGACAGCACCAAGCCTGCTGCCAAAACGATGAAAATCCCACCGATGTTTTGGATGCCCAGGGCGCTGGCCTCCTTATTCTCATCCTCGGGGCAGCCATTCCCCCGCCACCACTTCTCCTTCATTACGTGGAGCTTGTCCTCCTCCTGGAGCTGGAGGATGGCAATGGTGATCTTGTCCCTGTACGGTGACCCTGGGGAGGAGAACACCCTTACATACAGAAGGAAAATAGGATGAAAATCACACAAAGTAGGGAATGTGTCTGTGTTAAGCAGGGCTGTTCAGGCCTCTCTTCAACAGGCAGACAGCATAAGCTTTGGTATTTGGAAATTTGCTGTTGGGAATGGATTATCTTAATCACGTCTGTTGTATTTGTGGTAACTAGCCCCCCTCTGGGGTACCTACAGAAACCCCACCACTGTCACTTACCCATGGGAGTCCCAATCCCGTAGCCTTTGGAGTCGATGAGCCCCCCGATCTGAGTCAGGTTGCAGTTCCTCTGGGTGATGTATTCGATGGTGGTTGACTCCATCAGCAGGGCATAATCGGCTGTGAGGGTTCGCTGGATTCCTTCCTCGTTGTTTTTAACAAGTGCTGTGGGTTTGCTGCTCATGAAAGCCCACATTTTTTCAAACGTGGAAATTTTGGATTTCTGGAAAAATGATACAACCCCCCCCCCACCAAATAAGAATTAATCTTCTATTTGCTGAAACCTGGTGTCTTTTCGGTAAATAGCAGTTCGAGAACAGATCACACAATGGAACTATTACCAATTTGACCTCATCTTAAATACGTCTCTGCTTTCACTGCCCAACATTGCTTGTCTTCGTGTTGCCGTAACATGAGACAAAGGTTCCAGCACCCTTCACGTCACGCAGACACTCAGCAAAAAGAGTCACTGCTCCAGAGACCTTATCCTGTAGGTGGAACCAAACTGTTCACTCACCTCAGTAAGGTACAGCGAGACCCTGCCTTGATGCCCTGCAGAACTTGCTGGTGGGACAGGCTACCAGCAGATCTGTTTAAATGTATTAGTTTCCTAACCAGAGTTTTGTTTATCCTGTAATGTTTCTGCACAATGAGGGAAGAGAGGGCGTTTCAGAGGGCGTGTTTTTTTTCTTTTGCACACACTCTATTATATTTTTGTCTTTCCTCAAGCATCACAAGGAAACACGTCTCCTCTGAGATACGTGCAACTGCCAAACAAATGTAACATATCCACATAAACAGAGGCGTAGAAATACTCAAGAAGGTTGTTTTATGGCTAAAGATAAACATGGATATTCTTTCGCTATCAGCAGGCAATTTGTTAAAAAAGGAGGAATATGTTTTCTAGCTTAATATTCATGTGAATTTTTTTTCTTCTTCTAGAAAATGTGTTGGGTGAGAAGAAATATGGTTATTTTATGTCTTTCCGTAACATTTGAAATGTATCATTTATCTGTCACCACCTTCTGAATGGTCTCTATGTAGGTCGTCACAAAAGACGTAACCGGCTTTAGCCTAGGAAGACTCCCCGGGAAGAGGTGCATCAACTTTCTCTTGAAGTCGCCCCTTCGCTGGTCACTTTATTCCCGTGGGTGAATGTAGCTCTCCTCAAAACAGCCTTAAGCACCCAGTTGAGCTCTGGAAAAGCACTTGGATGTTGAGGCTTGTGTTCGTGCTGCTGCCTGCTCCTTTACGTGCCATTCTTCTTTTCTGCCTAATTTTTTGTTTTTCCTAGGTCTCTCTTTGCCTTCTTATTTTATTAGAGGCAGCTTAGTCAGCCAAAACCTCCTTCTCCACAACACTACTGGGCACGGGCCTGGAGGTGGCTGATAAGCTGGAGGGGCTGATAGGTCTTTGTGCTTTGGCTTCAATAAGGGTAGCTGCTCACCTGCAGCTGCGTGAGGAGTCGCTGCGGCAGAAGCTGCGCTTTCTGGTTTAGCTGTCGTGTCTCTCTGTCCTTCCATAAGAAAGCAGGAGATGGAGCCCCAGCCCATCCCAAGTGCTGCTATCACATCTCCCCCTCATTTTTTCAGTATCACCTAAAATGGGCCAGCATAGGTTCTTCTGATAAAAAGACTATAAATAAGGTAAATTAGCTAAGAAAAAATTCCCTCATTTCAAATGCTTTGCCTGTCCCATCTGCTTTTTTTCCAGCATATTTAACAAAAGTTAAACAAAAGCTTAACACCCCGAAGTTGGTTAGTGTAGCGCAGTGACAAAGGCTGTTCCTCTGTCTTTAACGCTGTGGGCTCATTCTCCTGACTGAAATAACCACAGGACTCATTTCTTCTCCATTAAAGCGCACGCTTGTTATAATCCACTCGATGAATGTGCAGTAGTGGATGTGCTGGAGCAAACTTCATTCAAGAGGCAGGATAATCTCTCTCACTTGAAAATCTGGGGCAGTGCCTGTAACGAAGATTTGTGGCATCTATCAAACCTCAAAGAGCAGCAAGAAATGTAGCCTCCAAAAGGATTATTAAATATCTGTGCATTACAATAGGTAATTGAAATGAATAGCATACTCGACTTGCTGATAACGACTTGTTTAACATTTATATAGTTCACATCCGAGGCCTCTGGGTTCACTGGCTCTCACTTTCTCTCTTTCTGTTCCTGCATTTAATGCTCCTTGGGTGTTGACACAGAGCTCTTAAACAACATCAGTGTTCTCCCAGTTTAAAGCATAGAGCAAAATAAACTGGCAAAAAATCAATAGGCTGCATTTAGTGAAGCTAATAGGACTTGCATGAGGCATTGTAGCTCTTCAGGCAACTTAAATTACATGAGACAGGGCTCCCTGGAAGAGAAAAAACACTTTTCTCATCTCTTCTTAAATCACTGCTTCTGACCATCTGAAAGGACTTAATTGTGTTTCGGAATGCCAGAAGGTGCCCAGCTTTCTTGGCTGCGCTGCGTCGAGCCCCCTCTGGGCATCCTGGGTGGGGGCCATTGGGCTGGGGGCACCCATGGGGGGCGAGCACCCTCTCTGGCTGGAGCCCATGTAGGTGAGAGCTTGCCACGAGGCCAGAGCTACCTGTCGCTTCTTGCCCGTGCCTAATGAAACAGCCGAAACAGAGACCCACCAACGCGGGGCTGATCCCCGCGGCAGAGAAGGGCTGTCCCCCTGCAGCAAAACGCCGCTGGTTGCAATGGCCCCGGTGCAGGCAGGGCGGCTCAACACACGTTGCTGGTCAAGGCAATCTCAGGCTCTCCCCGTAGTCTAAAACCTGCCACATCCTCACGGGGAATTTATTTCCTATTAGTTTCTTTAACTTAGCTAACATGAGATAAGCATGCTCCTTTTCCAAGTGAAAATTCACCAACTGTAATTCTCAGCACAGCACTAGCAGTTTGATAGACCTGGCTGTTTGTTAAAAGTCCAATTTAGAAGCAATTGTCAGTCATTGTGAGAGCAGTCATCAATCAAAAATTGCAGGAGCAACCATGGTGAGGAGCATACAGTGCTCCAGCTCACACCTAATTCTAGAGAGCTTCAACCACTATACATTTTTTCCTATTAGGGGAAAAGTTGTTCCTTCCTCCCTTTGCTCCTCTCGGAATACTTCAGCCATGCTGCAAAGGTGGTCGCTTTGTTGTGGGAATTTGGGTGATGGCACCTGAGAACATACCATTGAAATAAGCAAAAACATCTTGGCAGTAATTTAATAGTCAGAAAAGAATGCACATAAATTGTGTTTATTTTGCTGAACTTTTTGTGTGTGTGTGTACATTTTGTTTTGCTGGATCTCTGATTTTACAGCTTAAGTAATTTACCTTAAAAAATCCTTACTGGGGTTAGTTACTGGTTTGAAGTGATATTTGCTGTGCTGTGGCTAGGTACAAATTTCTTCTCTATGTAATCACCGTTTACTTTTACGGGCTGCATAAAAGAAATCTGAGTTGGTGGCAAGCAGAGAGACCCTCCTGTGCCCCCGCATCCTCTGTAGGGTCCCCAGGTCCCCCTCAGTGACAACTTTGCTTTGCTGCCAAAGGTAGATGAGGGGGAACTGCTTGGTTGCTCTTAAGCATTAAGACAAATGGCCTGACACTGACTTCTTCCTGGCAGAGAAATTCCAGAGTTGGGAACTCCGGAACGTTAGGAGTGATGGAGATTATTGCTAATAAACAAAGGCGGTAGTTTAACGCAGCTATTCACTGCAGCCGTGCTCCACACCAGGGGCATCACGCCTCTCTCCCGCTTACAGCTCTCCCACCGATTCATGTGAGCGGAACTTCTCCTCGGTTTGGTCGGGATAAATAACAACAGAATCTGGTCTGCTGCCCTCTGCATCTTCATAAACCCCCACGTTAGTGCAAAATGAGATGCACGTATGAAAAGCTGAGTACCAGCCCCTCTGAATGCACCAATTGCAATGACGCTGAGAACGCCTCTAAATTCATTCTTTAGAGTCACAGCTCTGAAGCTGTCTTTAATAACCAATGCTTCAAGACCAGTCACCCAAATAAATTAATGGAATAGTTTAGAAGAGCCACTACAAGGCATCTTGCCAAGACACATATGCTTTTTTATCAGTGGAATTGGCAAGAAAGTAACTTTCAGGCTTAAGATTTTCAATTCCAGCCTGTATGAAAAAATAAATTGATTTTCACCAGCTGAAGATGCTTACTCTTGAGGATTTAACATTTCTGTACAAGTGAATATATATGTACACACATACACACACTCTCACACTCATACTCCAAACTGCACATTAAACCTGGCATTTGTTCAGAGAGAGACAGCATCCTTTGCAAGATACTGAAGAAGGATTTCTGGCATGATTTATAATGAACGCTAGATGCTGTTCCTAAATTAATTGATCTGTGTTTATTCCTGTAACTCGATCTGCATTGCCAGGGAATAAATAGCTTCTCAAAAGTTCTTTTCATTAAGCTGAAATCTGCCAGTACAGTTGGTGAAACTCTCTTTTCTGCTTCCCATTTGCCATAGCTGGTTAGCCCAGCTGCACAGGCAAAAACCTTTGTGGGAGCAAGATCTCTTGCTGTGGGTCTGCCCCAGAGAGGTGTTTCGGCTTGGTTCAACAGGGAACTTCTGCAGTGCCTTAGGCGGGCTCTGCACGAGCCCTCGGGCAGCCTGACCACAGGCAGAAAACTGGTTAGTGCTTCGGGAACCGTCTCAGGGGAGTGTGCAAGGCCTTTGCCTTCTGCTCCCTCCCGTTTGCCATTGCTCCCTCAGATCAGCTCCCGGGACCGTGCTCTCCTCCTGCAGCCCTAGATCCCGCTTTGTCAGACTCCCAGGTGCCGGGAGGCTGCAGACCCAGGTGGGGTCCGGCGAAGGACGACGACGGCCGCAGCCGCAGGGCCCAGGCCGCGGCTTGGCAGGGACAGCGTATGCGGTTTGCAGCTGCTTTAACGTGGGGAAGCGGAGGAGTGAGTTCCCGATGCGAGGGGAACCACTTTGGGGAACAGTCATACAAGGAGCAAGGTAGCAATCTGGGCTAAGTCCTAGTGGATAATCCACAAAATATGTTCAGTGGGGGATCCCAGTCGGGATGCTGCCATCAGTGACAGTCTCTTCAGCAAACTGCAGGAGTGCTTGAGCCCCGGATCTCCGGGAGCTGTGGGGAGCAGCTCTCTCTCCCCTGGTACCCCCCTTTCAGCGGAGCAGAGGAAGGTGTCGTGAAGCCTCGTGCACTTCGCCGTTCCTTC